CACCACTAGCAAGTAGTTTATGGTTTGCTGCATATATGCAGGTTAACATACAGTCTTGCCAAGACAAACAAAACAATGGACTGCACACAATAGTTCTTAGCAGCAGCATGTCCTCTTCATTTCTATAGTCTTGCACTATTGTTCGCTACAACATACACGACACCATCTTTAAAAGCTCGAACAGCGTATTCCTGTATGAGTACAAGGGCACAAGAAAGCAATCAAGTAACAAAAAGTGGAAGTAGTGAGAAGCATTTGTCTGGAAAACAAATAAGACTTTAATGTACCAAAAAAAGAAAAAAAAAATACAGTCAGATCCACGTCTCAGCTATCAAACACATAAAAAAGGAAATGCTGCAGTGCAACTGTACCTTGGCCATTTTAAGCCCGTACTGTCCGTGCACATAATAAATAACAGCATGCACACAGAGCGAGCGCTCTTAGCATCACGGCACATATTCCACAAAGTCATTCTTGCCTATCCTAGAACATCACCAGATATATAAATCTCCTTGCATTAAATGACCACAACAGCTTATAAGATGACAACAATCGCTACAAAATGCTACTCACCAGATTCTCGTCATTATTGCCACACATTCAACTACAGCTTCTGGATAAACTGCTGACCTGCAGACAGACCCACCCATACACCAAAAAAAAATTTTAAAAACGACAACAATCATTTGAAGGCCACCATGTCTAGGCAAATCACTGGCAGGAGAACTAGTGCAACACTGTCTTTCTACAAGGATGACGATTTTACTTAGTGTACATTGTATCACATCAGTTCAAATCCTTAATCTGAAGTTCCTTAAACTTCCACCACATATCACACTAGTACAAAGGCTCCCACCTTGCTAGTCTTGCAAAAAGCAGCATATACTTATCAAAAACATTGGTGGCCATGAATGGAATTCAAGTGTCAAAACACAAGAGCTGGTTACTTGTGTGTGATTTAAATTATTTTTCACATGTGAATGCTTTTCATTAGTCAATATTTCAAACCCCAGGCAAGTGCTTGTTTCATTTCAACAACGTACTATTTTTATCAGAGTTTCATCAAACATTAAACTGTCTTTTTGTAGGTATTTAGTTCAACCCTCCCACCACAAACTGCACAGAAGTATATTGGTCAAAACTTCCCAAAGATTTTTAGGTTAACACTTGCTTCTAAAAGAGGCTTCTCACAGCAATGCAAGCTGAATGTTCTTTTACAAAAGTCAAATAACAGTAATTACAAAATATACATTACTCTCAATTTTTCATTTTCCACTTTCTTAACTTAGTGGTTCATTTCCCATGTGTTTAAAATTGTTACCTGTCATGTGCCCAAAGATTACTAGAACAGACAACATCTTTGAGCAGCAGATGCCACATAAACTCAAGTAATAGCCATGCTTGTGCAATTGCAACACTGTCAACATTATATAAATATTCATTTTTTTAAATGTAAGCACACTGTGCCCTACCCTTTTAGATACCACAGTTTTAGCTGTTGAGAACTGTCACTTTGATGTGAGCGCAGGCAACAAGAGAGGTTTGAAGTTCCAAAACTGAACAACCACTGCTTAACGTAAATGCACTATGTACTTGCTGGTGCTATGCAGCTCAGAATTCTCAGCATGTCCACAAAATATATCAGCCAAATCACCTCTTCCTGCTGGTGCGAGTAGTTAATGTAAATAACAAATCTCTGCATAAAAATCTTGATCTTGTCTATGCACACATCTTGTTTCTCTAGCAAACTCTCCACAAAACATACAAAGAGATGAAAAGGATGCGTGGCTATTACACGAGTCTACACAGTCATCTCACAGAGCAGCTACCAAGAAATAAAGTGGTTAAGCTTAGAAAATACTGCTATGTGTGCTGTCACACAATTTGTCACTGCTACCCTTAACAGGTGTGGAAGTGAACTTTAGTGTTTTGGAGCAGCTCAGGAAGCTAGAATAATGCTGTTTTGGAGCAATGCAAGTTAGTTTTCGAGCAGCTTTTTAGGGTCAAACATGATCGTCAATCAAGATTATTTCTTGTAAAAAAATTCCAATTTTGTTCCCTGAGCATCCAGTGCTAATGAGTTTACCAGACTTACCACCAACAAGTGTGCATGCATGTGTATGTGTGTGTGTGCATCTGTGTTACCATCATTAATCATCACAGCTGACATAGAACTCTAAGAAAACAAGGCATTTTCATGACCGCTTGATAACCGCAGCGCACTTTGCTTGGTGGAAGTTTGTTATCCCCATGCTAATTAAACACACTGCTCTGCTCATCTGTGCTCGGTCTCAAGCAGAGTGGGGACGAGCAATTGACACCTCAAATCCGCACGCACGGTACAGCGAGCCACCCGGCAGCGATGACGTGGGCAGCATAGGCGCCACGCTGCAGGCAACTCACCAGGAAATGATCGAGTCCAAGCGACTACTCCGTATTTCAATGAAACTAGCAGTTGTCTAGAATCAGATTGTGGTAGAGAAGCGCACATATGTATCGCAGAAAGCCGATAGTGTCCGTTATGTCGCTATCTCGGTCGCAGCGTATCCCAAACCCTGCAATGGTTTTGAAACGCTTCATGGCGTCGACACTGCACGCTAAAAATGATTGTGCAAGTGCCAGCCTAGTATCTAATTTTCACACTTTGGCAGAAAGGAAGAAAATACTTTCTGCCGGGTACTTCCAAACACATCTGCTATGGTACTGTATTTTTTTTACTGGTGACAAAGGCACACGTCAGGAGATGCACATTTGTAGTTGTAAACACACACTGCGCACGCTGTTTAGAGCATCATTATGCCACGTTCCTGGCTGGTACAAATCATCGAGGTTTCACTGTATTACTAGATAATTCGCAGTAACTCATTATGGTGCCATTATTCTTGCAAGGAAATTACGGCAATAACAGCGATGAGACGAGTACTAGCAAGCCCCATGAATGAATCTAATTACGTGATTGAACACTGGTTACGGATGCGGCCGTGTCCTTTGCACAGCCAACGTACGGTGCTGCTCGGTCAACGATGATAATTGGCTGGATTTAACAGTTTACACTTCCAATCAACAATTATCGTGGAAATTGTCATTTATCTACAGCCTGGTACAGCAGGTCGGATTGGCGCCAAGCGGCGCAATTGGCACAGCATTTCCACCCCTGCCATAAGCAGGCCCACAAAGTGGGCAGGAGGGTGGACGCCCCCTCTAAGCACATAGAGGGGGGAGGGGGGGGGTTATGCAAGCCTGTCCTATACATTTACTCAGGCAGACTTGTCCTATAATTTCGGAAAGAGCAGGGTTATGATAAGGCTGATTTTCAATGATAATGGTGGGCGAAGGCCCCTTATGTTGAACTGCAAGAACTTTTTAGAACTGTGCCTCTTTACCTCAAGAAAACCAGAGACCAAAGGCACTGTCAGAAGCTTTTTGTCCCTTCACCCCCCCCCCCCTTTTTTTTCATTTTTTTTTTCATACATTGTGAAGCATGTCCTTTAAGAGGGCAGACTGGTCTTAGACATTTTTTTTGTTTATTTCTTCAGTGATCTTGATCAAACTGCACAGGGTTATGCAGTTTTTCTGCTGATTTCAAATATTTAATTAGTTCTCCTGTAACTTATCTTGTTCCTGGGATAACTTAAGATCACCCCCTATTGTTTAAGGCTTAAGGCCACCATAGAAAAAAAAGTGCTTATTTAAAAGTAATATTTAGGATATGCCAACATATACTAATGACTATAGAGTGAAAGTATGCAAGATGTTGCCTTCGACCTCGTAAAAAAAGAAAGTTTACTCACACATAATAAACAGGCGCCACAAGGCTACGAAACGCCACATAAGCCACAACTTCAGGAGCGCCACACCTCTACGTCGTCTTTCTTCACTACCGGCCTCAGGCCCCCATGCATTTCTAACCCAAAGTTTTTTTTTTTTGTTTTTAAGCCTTTCTTGGTTATTTTACAGCAAAATGAACTGTCCATTTTCAAAAGCAGTAGAAATTGTTACAATTTTGATGAGTAATTAATTAAAAAGGCTTGTGCTCTGAATTCAGCTCCGATACTTGCATTCTACACACATACAGGTTTTCGTCGCAAAAAGAATTATTGTTGTACCTGCCCTAGCTGCAGAGATATTGAGGTCTCAAAATTGAACAGTCGTAAATTTACTTTAACAAAAATGGATAAAATTGAAAACAAACAGCTTCTTCAAAAAGCAATAATCATGGTGCACATGTTTTACAATCCTGATAAAGGTGCTCATAAATTTGTAGCAGAGCTGCTAACACAGGTGCTGGCAAATTGTAAAGAAGCCTCGAAGTCTGTTCCACCATTTATAGCAGGTACTGCATGATAACAGCACCAAGAATCTGGACAGTTAGAACGGCATTACAAAAGAAATGACCACTTCCTGGTGTTTGAAAATTTGCAAGAAGATAGAAAAATACTTGCAGAAACCAAATATGTCAATTTTAAAAATGAATTTTTTTTTGTCAATTTTTTGGTCCCATAGACCAGTCTGCCTCCTTAAACTCTACCAACAGGAGCTGAGGTAGGGTGTGTATGCTAGAATGAAATTCTCCCTCCCCCCCTTACAGTGAGCCCTGTGCACAACTATGACCATAAGTACTAACACCAAGTTCCAGTAGGCATGCAGTTAACATTTTAGCTGTTTTCTGTCAACCACAGAAATCTCTTGCACTTACTTCCCCCTGCAACACACTCCACTGCTTGCCCTTCCAATGTTCTTCAACAGAAGACATGCTTAGCAGCACAATTTCAAGATGTTTGCGCAGCAATTCAATCTTCACAAGTTTAACCCAATGGGCAGAGTAGTGTACAACGAGTTGCCAATGTGCAGTAGCATTTTCTGCTATCACCACTGCAATGACCGTGCCGGCTAGTCAATTTGTCATTAAAAATATCGGCTAACAAAAGACACACACTGCGCTCGTATAAAAGCAAGCAGTCTTAAATATTCTGAACACATTAGATAAGCAAACACATTGCTCAATCTCAACAGACAGTTCGTTTACTTTAAATCTGACTAAAAGAGACAAGACTGAAAGATATTTGATCCACAGCACAGCTCTGAACTGCTGCATAATAGCAGTCCAGAAAAATTTTCTGATACTAGTAATACACTGGAAAAAAAGTGAATGAAGCGTCCCACAGAAAAAATAAAGTTATATTAGTGAGGAACTTGCATAAGAAAATTGAGCTACAGAGAACAGTACACTTGCACATACCCATACAACACAGCTTCAAGAGATCACAAACTTAAAGAAAAAAAAAAACAATGCTGACACAGTAATGCGACTAAATGTTTACTCAAACAGACCGTATACATTTCAAAACTGACGGCAATGTATCTGAAACACACTAAACACCCTAAACATACCCAAATCTGCCTCCGAATGTATCAGACCAAGACAATCTGATTGAGGCAGTACAAATCCACATACAAGATGACATCACATCAAACATCCACAAAAATATCCCGACAGCCACAAGTGATTACGATCTTTTTTTACAAATCAAAGGCGTCAAGAATCTCAATAAGTTGAAAAGGGAAACGGCCTCCAACAAGTATGCTCCAATGAGCACTGAAGCAAGTCAACTCAGAAGTTGTGCTTCTCCTGAATGCTCTCGCCGAGCTCTTCTTTGGATGATCAGCTAGAACAATCGAACTTCGTGCAACAGCTAAACAGTAATATTCTGAGACTTTGATTAAATAAAACTGCTGAATTGAATCTTCCAAATTGCTTGCTATGCAAATGTTTTAAAGGTAGTTCAATTTAGCCCCCTTAGCACACACATTATATGCCATTTCAAAAGGCCAAAAGATTGCTTCATTAGCAAAGCAAGCAAAAATATGAGCTTGAAGACCCAAAATAAAACATCTCTAGTTTTGCTCATGCTCCTGAGATAAGTCCAACAAACAAGGAAATTTACCCTGAGCATGCATAAGTGCTTTTAAAGCTGGCTTTAGCGAACACAGCCCTAGATTATACAAGAGGAGACAAAGAAAATATACGCTCCTGAATATTGTACATCATAGAATAATTCCTTGAAGTTCCAAACACAAGAGGTAGAAGACAAAATGCAAAAAAAAGTACTTTCATACATTTCAGTTATGTCAATAGAATGCCTGCCTGAATACAAAAATTACATACTGCCTCCATGTCAGTTCTTTAGAAAATTAAGCTATGGTGCAGTGACATGGAACTGAAAGTACAATCAAACACATTTTTCGATGAACCATGTACCATTCCGAACACTACACAAAGAACAGACAATATAAAACAAATGAAAGAAAGAGCAGGGAAAAAGAAAAATGCCAAATGCACCGGAATGGTTTTTTTTTTAAATGGCAATTACTCAACAAGCTCTGTGGTTCATTGTAACATGTTTGCAATGCTTTTGTGAGACATGGAACTCTCAAAATTCACACAACAAAGTAATCTGGCCTGATGTGTTGTCCCAGCCTTACCCACAGGGCAATTGGTACAAGCTGTTAGTAAGTAGCGCTTTTTCTTTCACAGAGAACACTTCTCTGAATATTCAGGTTCTGGCGAATTAAACCTTTCAAGATCAGGATAACTCTCACACACAAATTGCAATGGGCCCTTTACTGTATAAAGCTAACACGGCCATAATAGTTACACACTCGGGATCTCTGTCAACAAAAGGCAGAGCTTCTGAAATCTTGTTTTGTAGATTCATCATTTTTTATGTTGTTTTTCCCCCCCCTACAGATTCATATTATAGTGCAGGGCAGCTTCGTAGACGATTAAGACACATTTTTATAAATATATGCTTTCAGGTATATAACCTCCTAGCCCAACCCCTAAGGCAAGATTCATATGAAAAAGCATTTTTCTGTTTGTACTTGGATTCATTGCATTTTGTGGTGGAAGCCACATAGCATGTTTTGTTAGTTTTGAAGTATCAACCACTTTACAATGCTTCCTAACACGGCAATCCTACAGGCTCTGGTTAAGGTGTAAACTTGCTGTTTTTAATCCCGTTCTTTCGATTTATGCACCTTAATAGAACACATGCAATCGTGAGATGGCACAACGCAAGGGGAACTTTCAAAATTCATGCTTCTATCTGCGAAATAAAAAATGCAGCTATTGTAATAATAAAAAATAACGTCTGCTTGCATGTTTGAAAGAATTCCTGGTGCTGAATTTTGAAGAAGCAAGATAACGAGCAAGGTATTCAATCTAACGAATTAGTCAGCTAGCTTTCTTAAAAGACACTTTTCTGGGTTACAAAAAAAAAAAGTGCTCAAATTTGACTAGTGCAAATTACCAAAGGACTGTACAGATGATTCAACAAAACACACAGTAGCAATTCAACAGCATATTCACTGTTGACTGCTACCGCCTATAAGAGCAAGCAATTTCATAGCCACAGAACTAAAACTGAGCCAAGCTATACAATGCTGCACAGCTTGCACCTTACGAAAGCATGCCTATCAAAATGATCTTATGTCAGGCAAACCTGCACAAAACTTGCTAAACCAAAAAGTAGAAAATGAATAAGCAATCTATCTATTACAAAATGCACCCTCGCTACCTGTGTCTAAACTTTAACATTCTCGGAAGCTTCCAAATGGTTTCTGCTCCTATTCCTAACGATAACACCTGCAATCAATTAACTGTTTACAAGCATTCAGTAAAATCCATAGCTATGACAAATTCTTTGCATGTGACTAGCTACCGGTACATAATCTCGAGCACTAGCACTTGACGTCACAGATATGAACCATGGTGGCAGAAATGCCAATCACGGGCCATGTTTTCTGTAATGATCATGAACTAAACTCTTGTTGCCAACAGTGGAAGCTATAACCAGCTTTCTTATACTGTGTGAGCACTAGCAATTTGGCTGCAAAAGCCTTTTCCACAAAAGTTTAAAACTTGCACCAGTAAAAAAATTGCATCTGAAATATGTCTATCTAGTTTAAGTTACAAAGCACTGCACATGAAGAGCGGTTAAGTTTTCGAGAAGTGAGCACGAACTTTGTCTTTGACACTTATAGAAATAAAATAAACATCTATAAAGATAAACTCCTCACCTGAGCACTTGTGTACGGGAAAAAATTTTGACCGTTGAAATTTTACGACAAAAGTACCGTATAAGAGTACAATATCGTGAGCCCTGGCGTGTAAAGGTTGCACGTGTTTTCCCTCTTTTCACCCGTTAACTTAATTTGTCAGCCACATCAGTGCGGCTTCCCCATGAAAGGTAACCTTACAAGGGCTTTCAGAACCAGACTCCCTTGGCAATGCGTGGAGCCAAGAACGCTGCATTCCCCCCTACGACAAGTCCAAGCACCAGAAAGAACGCCGCCATCATGCCAGCAATGGGCTCATGCTCCGGACTGGCCACAGCCCGAGGTGCGTACATCATGGCCAAGCTGCTCAGGTATCCACTCGACCAGGCAAACAGTATCATGGCCGCCACGAATCCCCAATCGCTGGATACCCACACCGGCAGCACCCGCGCCTCAGGCAGGTAGTTGCAGAGCAAGAACAGTGGCAGGAACACCAGCCGAGCAACAACGGCCACCCACAGAAACCGAGGCCCAGGCTGTGGACAGAAAGAAACTTGCAATACTCTAAACTGCTAAAAAAAGTAAATAAAAATGATCAAATTACGGGGCTTTAAGTGAAACTCTACCAAACCGTCATGACCAAATGAAACCAGCAGAAAATGAAGGTAAGTAAGGTTTGGGGGACATTACTTGTGAGTATTAATGAGAACTAACAGACAATAATGTCACAAAAAGTAGAGGGGATGTTAATAAATTTAACTGTAATGTAAAATGTGAAGAATAAAAAAGTGGTTGCAAAGATAATTTGCACTGGCAGGGTCAGAGCCTGCAAACTACAAATAACGCGTCTGATGCTCTACCACTGAGCTACACAGGGGGTCATTCCCCCCCCCCCCCCCCCCGTCTATTTTATTGGGTACGTAGTACAGTAGTACAGTTAAACCTGGATATAACGAAATTGATAATTTTCTGAACAATTCATTATAAAGGGGAATTCGTTATATGTCGGTTCGGCCTGAAAATTCGAAAAAAAAACGCACAAATAAACAAAAGGGGGATTGAAGGCAGAGCTACCATAAAACACTTATTTGACAGTAAAAAACTGCATTATTATTGCGATGGCAATTGCATGGACACTCTCGGCGGGTTTCTGCCGTCGCCGCCATGTTACATAACATGCCGCCGCGCAAGGTAATTTTCACGAGCGGGTAAAAGCGAGCGAGCGCTGCTGAAGCAGAGATCATAAGAGTCGGCCCATCCCATATCGCCGGGAAACTGCATAAGATAACATCTCCCACGTGTTAGAACTGCCGTCGAATACTCAAACTAAAGTAAACCACCTGTCTTGAACGAGCACTTCTCCCTGAAGTGGCCGTATTTGCTCACACCAGCGTTTTGCACAAGTTCCCTGATATCGGATCTAAAAGACTTGGCTGCAGGCCTTACTTCTTATAACATTACAATCTTTTGCTATCGCGTTCATAGCATTGCATTCAACGCGCCAACATGTTGCCAGAACTAATCGGCTAATCGCGAAAGCTACCAGACTGTGAACTCGCGGCGCGGCGCAAGACGGAAGCGCGTTACGAGCCGGCCTCCGAAGATCTGTCGTCACCGTGGTCACGGAGAGTTTCCATCACAGCGCCTAATCTGACATCCCCGCTGTTGTGAGGACACGGTTGTCAGAAATTAAGAAGAGTCACAGTTTCGCCGCAAGCGCAAAGCAATAAATGCGATGGCAACAATTTGGAATGTAACGCTGAGAACGGCGTGCAGATCGAAACGTGCAGCGCACGGTTCCCGCACGAATGACGAACGAAAACAGCATGCACAGGACGAGAACAAACTAACAACGTTTGTCGCTCGATACTTAACGCGCTGTTTAAACAAAAACGAGGCACGAAATGTGGTAACAGGTACAGATATGAGTTCGAACTAACAAGTGCCCCAGTTAATTTTGTTACTGCGCTGTGTTTGGAAAGCACACTCCTTTCGCAAATGGCACCTGTCCAGCGAGCGAACAGATCTTTGTGCATCCGGCAACTAAACGCAATCATTCCGGTCAAAGTCAAAGGTGCGTGATTTTCCCCACCTAAGGTGCATAAGCATCTCCCCCCCTCCCCAACTCACGAGGCACAGTATGTGTCATAGATAAGCGCGTATATATATATATATATATATATATATATATATATATATATATATATACAAAGTCTTTTTCAAGGCATGATACTATTGTAATATGCCTTGAAAAAGACGGGACTCCCGTCATAACGTCCGCTGAATAAACAAGTTGTTATGTGAAAGCTCATCTACTTTTATACTTATTATACACACGGCGAATGGTGGCGGTGGCAAACGAACAAAATTCAGCTGAGACTGTCCATATATTCGCTATTGCAATAAGGAAAAAAAAAGAAGCTGAATGTCGTCAGAGCCACACCATAAACACGCAGTGAAACTGCATGCGTGCGCAGCGTCGAAAACGAAGAGCGAACGACATGGACACAGACAGTACCGCGAAAAACTATTCGGTAAAGCACCCTCCATAGGCAATGCGGCCCCACATATGTGACGCTAACTAAAAGCGTGGCACTGCCAATGCGCAAAAGAATTTTTCTTGTTTTTGTTTTGGTTAAGAATTCAAGGGGGAGAGAGGGGGGCACACTTGCGCATGCGCCCGCGGTGGCGAGAGCGGTGGCCACGCCGACTCGTGGAGTGCAGGACCGCCTGGCGCACACCCGCACGCAATAATGAGCGCTCGCTCTCGCCTGGTGCGCCGTGCGAGCCGCCACCGCTTTGTCGACAGTGGGGCAGCCGCAGAAGATGCACGCTCATACCAAAAAGCCGAAATGTGGAGCAAAGTTCCTAGATTGTCCGTCGTAAAATTCGTTATATTAAGGTTGTTTCCCGCTATTACTTTGTTACATAGAGGTTGCAAATACATGCTTCGGAGAAGCGACGGCGCGGAATTGAAGAACTTTTTCGTTGCGAGCTGATGTCGCAACATCACACTCTGAAAGCTGACCAAAAAAACCATGCGTGCTATCTAAGGCATCGTGTCTGCCGTAGCTGGTGAGGGTGAGATTGATCGAGGGCTCGTTACTTTTTGTTCGACACAACCTCATGAAACCAACAGACAATGAAGTTATAGCTGTGCATAGTGGACATTACTAGCATGTTTTAACTACAGAATACTAATTATGGCATAAATGGAAAGAAATTAAACAGGATGAAAAATTAACCTTCCAAAGGTAGGGACCAAGCCTAGAACATTCATGTAGCACATGCGATGCTCCACCAGTTGAGCCACTTTCACTTACATCATAACAGCTACCGTAGAAGCTCAGCAATACAAATCTCAAGGGATAATGAAAGTGCATTCATATCGCCCAAAATTTTGTATGAACAGGAGACTTGCAAATCCATTTTCGAAACATGATTGCCTCATTCTAGATAAGACAACTACAATACACCACCCCACCAGTGCTTCATCACCCTAGCGATATGAAACACTTTCATCTTGCTATCTCATAAGAATATGCTTATGAATCCTTTCCAAATCTTTTTGAACAATTTCACTATAAACAATTTGAAAAGTATGCTAGTAACATTTGAGAAATATTTGAAAAATATTTGATTCACCCTCACACTGCAATATCCGAATCTACTTCACACACCGAATTCGCACAGCTGTACTGGAAACCAATACCTATGCTTATCAGGTCTGAAGATGTCTAATTGTGCTCTTACAGTAGTTCTATGAACTTTTTTCACAATGCTAATGAAAAGCGCGAGGAAGTTTGCTGGGGTGTGTGTGAAGAAATTCATAAAGACAAATCAATGAACTCACCCAACGAACCCAGATGGGAAGAATATTGCCAAGCATGGCAAAGAGGTTGAAGCCAAGAAAGCAGACTGTTGCGGTGAAGTACTTGTCTAGAACAAAAAAAAGACAACTTCACGAGATCAACCAAGGTAAACACAATAAAGCTGCCCTCACTTTAGAGTAGCTATGCAAATAGTAATTTTACTGCCTCTTTCAATACTGTACACAATGGGCACTTATATTTGCTGCCAAATTGCTAAAACAGAACACTAGAGAAAAAATACAAAAAACAACTGCGAAGCCTGAGAGAGTTGAGAAAAAAATCTCGGCATATACCCGAAGTGAACGACGATGAGTGGGCAAAGCAATGGGATCTTTCGGTGTTACCGTAAACCACCCGTGACATAGACCACTCACACATGTAAATGAGTGCCGAGCGGTGCACAATTATACACAATGTTCATAATTATTGGTCATAACTACTGTGTAGTGCTGAATTGTGAATTTCGTTCTGCCTTCATTATCACCGCTTCCTGGCATCGAATCTATCCTGAAGTTGGCAAAGACAAGGTCTGGCCATGTTCCCCTGGTGGTTGTTGGTTGCTTCCAGTCATACGAAATGCATCGAAGAGCATGTTAAGACATCATTTACTGCGCAAGCTAGTCGTTGTTTGTGATAATGATCATCTTCATCGTCGTCATCGACGTGGCGTATAATGGGTATTTTACATGTGCTGTACCGTGATGGCAGAAAAAGAATGTGTAGACTGGAATGTGCTTGTTTCTCATTGTCATTGGTGGCTACAGCGCACAACGCCAACACAGACACCGACACCAGCGGATAAGCCTTGCCAATAAGGAGCTTCACCCCCAAAATTGTGTGAAATCTGCTGGAAGCTACAGTATTCACTAAATTTGCCACGGAACATCATGTATACTTATCTCGAACTTGTATTCCTCGTGACAGTTGCATCTTTCCACCTCATTACGTGTCTGGACGAGTCGATCACATTTACAAAGTGCAGGAGTACCGATGTAAGACAGCAGCGTTCAGTTATTCTTTTTTCCCTAAAATGGTTTCCCAGTGGAATCGATTACCTTCAGCGATCGTTGTCGCTGTTGGTAGTGATTCATTTTTTCCTTTGTTAGAGTCAAGTGAATTGTTCAGTTGATGACAGGTGTTTTGTTGTGCGGTATACATATTGTATTTGTTTTCGTCTTACTGTATGTTACCCGCTGGCATTTTTCGTACATTTTTGTCAATCTCCGTTACGTTATGTACTCAGTGTACTTCCTACTATCTGGTTAGGCTGTACTGTACTTGCCGCAAATTGAGCTTGTGTTCTGTCTTGTAATCATGTTGTATTCCCCCCACTGTAATGACTTATGGCGCTGTGGGTATCAAATAAATAAATATCAATGTATGGGAAACAATGATGCCCTGTCTCAGAAAATCGACTTACCATCCAAAGGAAATTCTTTGTCAATGCGCTTGATGTCCGATGTGACGGCTGGAAATGCGGCCAGCGTGACAAAGAATATCAGGAACACATTAAGGCACTGCGGCCACGCCTGAAAAGCAAGAAGAGCGTTGAAAGCGATTACTTCACAGATAATTAAAGGGACACTAAAGAGAAACGACTTTGTTTCTGCCCTCTGATACTCCGACAACTGCCCTCTGACAACTCTGATTTCATATGTTTCACTGCCATAAGGTCATTATTAACAAAGAAAATTAAAGGCTGAAGTTTTAATTTAAAATTTTAAGCCGGATTTTTCACGTGTGACATCACAAATCATAAAATGTATTTTTGGTATTCTCACGAAATCGGCTTAATTAAATTTTCTGAAACATTGTAGGCTAGGTCTATGGCACTCACAGATGACATTCTACTTAATTTTGACTGATTAGGAGCTCAAAAGGACCCAGTAGACGCTTTCAAAATCTGTGACATCACAGTGTTCGGTGGGGGAATCTCAAGGTGGCGTCTCCACCCACACTTTCTTTTTCGCGCGTTTTCTCACTTGCCAAGCATCCTGTCACGTTAAGAGTGGTGTTTTTAGGATGGTGAAATCGTAATTTACTAATGCTCGAAAAAATATTTTCTATGTTTAGTGTCCCTTTGAGGCACATTCCTGATGACGAATCTGAAGGGCCATATAGACAATCTGGGCTATTTTTACAAAAAAATTAATTAACTAACGAAGGAGAAAAATGGGTAGCGTTTCACATGCACTATCAGTGACATTATAATGCTTGCTGTATTAACAGCCAGTGAATCAACTGGAAAAGAGTCGTTCTTACCGCCACTGTTGAAATGTGGTTGTCGTTACGAGGAATCGAAATAGCAGCCTTCACGCTTAGTTGCGTAGTGTCATAACCCCAACTGCGGGTAGCTTTCCCAGTGCTTGCGCACTTTAATGCTACTATCAGTGGTCAGAGCACTGACCACAGATTAGTAAACGGCAAAGAGGTTCCCGGCAAGCTGGTCGTGATGCTGGCCGAGATTAAACTGGCCGTGATGAGTGGATGATAAGAAGAACGCAGAATTGAGCAAACAGCATGTCTATGAAATGGTTGCCCTAATTACCAATCAATGATTGCAATGGGTTGTTGCGCTGAAATAAGATCGCCTTGGGTCAGCCTTTGCCCTCCATCACCACTTTGAATCAGAAAGAGGTTGTTCTATCAATCACCAATGTGCTCTGGCCAAACATACTACATGTACAGCTGCTGGTGATGGTGCTACAAATAAAGACTTATCAACCTACCACTCTTCATTGCATAAAAAATGAACTTTGTTTTCTAACACTGTTTCTGCAGAGCAGACACTATAATTAATGTCACGCATAAGAAACCTGACATCAAAATACACGGTCCCCCTTGAGTAGTATAACTGAAGTCGATAGTGGCAAGCACCAAGCAAGTGTGCCATAGATGACAGACTTGGGGGTATCCTGTCAGTCTGGATAGCAGAAGCGGAAATTCTTGCCGATTGACCTGAACGCAGTGCAAGCAGGATGCCTAAAAGTGCCACCCCGTCTTTTAATTTGTGCAGTTTTTTATCCCCAATCGCGTATGTGAGCGCACGAGTGGTGCAGAGGTGGCAGCCACTTCTTACTCCAAATAATCAACAAGGAGCACTAAGTATGCCCTACAACTTTTTTCAGTTGGACCTGTTTTGTGATTGGACAAATGTTTTAGACGATAATTGCCGTTGAGTGCATCACATTCGAAAAGAGCTTAATTCCCATCGTTACCTCAGGAAAGTGGGAGACCAATGACAGGCTGTTGTGCCCATCACCATTTCATTTTCATTTTTGCATTCAATCAAGATTTTTTTTTTTTTTTCGGACTCGTCGAACTGGGAGGGGCACAGCGATGAACCCTGCCCTACCGTCAGTGAAAAATCCTGTGGAAACCTGTGCCCAAGCAGGTGTCAGTAGAGAAACCACACCAGCAGACTTTAAAACATTTATGCAGGGCGACAGAAAAGCTCTATTTGCACATCTGAACATTTGCAGCCACAGGATGTGCTGTTGCTGCCAGTCGTGGCCCGCCGCACAGCATACGCCGATCACCTGCACTGATACACTCTGAAGAAGTCAGAGCCCACCTGTTTGAATACAAGCCAATAGGGAGGCCTGCGAGAGCGGGGTGTTCGGCTGCTTGGAGCAGAAGCCATGGCAGCTAGCCGCTGGTGATGCCTGTAGCAGCGCTGCACGAAATCCCAGATTATTATGAGCTCCAGACATTCGGTATCAAGAGAGAAACATGCTCACAACAAATTTTATTTAACACGGTAAAGCCACATAAAAAAGCTAAATTTGTGCAAATTGTCCAATACACTACAAATTTTCGAACGAATATCACAGTATTCCAATTCACTTCAATTTAAATTTAAATTACTGAAAATTTTAAAGTATTCAAAAGTAAAAAATAGATGTATATTGGTCCACACATAACCCCTTGTAAAGGTGGTTTTACTGCAATAAAGAAGTGCTAAGCTGTGAAAGCACTTATCCAAAAAACTTCGTACTGTCGTTAGGCCCTACTTTAAATTGAATGAACAAAATAAAATCACAACCATTCACAATATTTTTTAGGTTTAGAAGCTTTCTATACCAGCTTATATTCTCCAAGTATAGTGAGTTTTATAATGTAACATATTTTAGAGGATATCACTAGCATTCTATCGAAAGTCAGATCCTGCTCCTATTCAAAATTGTTCCCACTTCCTTTGAGCCAAAAAAAAAAAAAAAAAGACGTTTGTACAGGCCTTCTTCCAATTTTAAAAAGACATTGTGCAGGTTAGTTAAGCCATGACAAATATGCCCATTTTTCTTTATAATAGAGATATATAAGAGATGATATGAAAGGACATGAGATTGTATGAGGTAAATATAACCAAAATTACTAATCGCTTTGAACCGAAATTCACCATTCACATAAGCTTGGAAAAAGCCACAATTGCTTTTTGCAACTGCGGAAGAACAAAATTTGTCCTAATGTGTATCTCGTAACATGAGCATCCTTTTTCCTTCAGCAGTTTACATAAACACCAATGTGTGCTCAACAGTTCCTGCATACTACCACTTAGTGCAAAATTATACCTTGATCGTATTATATATGCAATGCATTTAAGAAGTTCCACTGTAACACTGCTCATACATTAGACATATTGGTTTGAACATAAGCTTGGTGCAGTCGGAGAATTTTCGGATCAGATGTAGCACTTGTGAAGCAATATTTGTCCAAGTCCACGTTTTTCAAACACCAAGCTAGACTGTGCAATAACCTTATAATTGCAATAGAAATTGTATGGACACTATCGATGGGTTTTTGCCGTCGCCGTCATGTCTCATATAAAGTCCGAATTGACGACATACGCCTATGCCTCGTGTGTTTCACCTGAGGGTAAAAGCACACGAGTGGCGGTGAACGCAGCTGAAGCAGGCACCAAACGAACCGGCCCATCTCCGTCACTCGGAGAACGCATGATATAACATGACTATTGCAACACATGTGTGTGTGGGTATATGTGTGTGTATGTGTGTATATATGTGTATGTGTATATATGTGTATGTATATGTGTGTATATATATGTGTGTATATATGTGTATGTAGGTGTACATATGTGTGTATATATGTGTGTGTATGTGTGTGTGTATGTATATATATGTGTGTATGTATATATGTGTGTATGTGTATATATATGTGTGTGTATATATGTATGTATATATATATGTATATATATATGGATGTATGTGTATGTATCTATGTATACTATTGCATTCCATGCGTTTGATTGAGCTTGATTGTGTGCTGATATCAATACTCCTTTTGTTATCTTATGCCTCTGTCTATTAAAAAAAAAAAAAAAAAAAAAATAGCACAGTAACTATGTGGACGTACGAATGCGAAAGACTTTGTATTCCTAACGCATTGTATATCAAATGTGTAACGATTTTTTTATATTTTTGTTTACTGCCAATGAACTACTATTATGCCATGTAATATGATGTTGTAACATGTTACGGGTACCGGGGCCCCTGTCAGGCGTTGCTCGCCTTTAGCTCCTGTACCTTTCTTGAAGTTGTCAAGATCAAATAAAATCTTATTCTATTCTATTCTATAACATTACTCCATCTGGGAGGTCTTGCAGCAAAGCAGAGTGTAAACGCCACGCCTGTCTTGAATGAGCATGAAAAGACGCAACTAAGGGTGCGGTCATGATTTCTGATCAGCGGGCGGCTCTCATACACTTGGACGTGCTGTGCTTTCGTCACATTGATGCTGCATGAAAAATGTTGCTCTCCCAGGATGTGGCCTTATTCTTTTACAAAGCATTTTGTAAGGTGTAGTGAGATCGAATACAAAAGAGATAGCTGTCAGCCTAACTTCATATAACATTACAATTTGTTGCTATCACATTCGTTGCCAATTTTATTAATCCTAAGCATGAAAGCGTCAGCCGCAGTCCATCAGCGTCCTATAAAGCGGCACAACGGCGCAATGAACGAGAATACGTGCATGCGCTTGATGAGAAGTCCTGTGCATGTGTCTTTACTAGGCTGTTCCAGGAGCCTGACGTTGACCCCCGCTTCTCTTAAGCATCATTACCGCCACCCCCTTTTTTTACTTTTTCTGAACCCTACTATTGTGTTATATATATATAAAAAAAACATCTGTTTCACTACAAGGGTAGCAACGAGTGTGAGAGCAACAAGTTGTTTTGTTATATGAAGTAAGGCTGGCAGCTAACTCTTTTAGATTCGATATCGCGCAACTTAAATTGCTTGAGAAATGCTCCTTTAGTGCAGTGTCTTTGCACCGAGAGCCCGGCACGTAGAATAGTTCACCAGGTAATCGCACTGATGCCTGCTGAGACGACGCATGCACAAGCGATCGCGACCTTACAATCAATGTTCAGAGCGGCTGCTCCAGAGATGACAGCCTTGATTAAACCACGACTATATACCTGTTTCGGTGAAACTGAAAATGCCATTTTTCAGCCACTTTTTCGGGCATGGGGCATCTTGCGGCTAAAGTCGGGTGCTGCAGCGCAGTACAGCGCTGATAAACAAGTTTGGTGCAATATGGGTAGTTCGACACAGGATGGCGCACCTAAGCAAGTTTCGCGTACAATGGTGCAAGTGGCACAGCTGTCCCAAACCTGAAAGATCATCACTTGGCACTGCTAAGAACTGACAGCAGTCATGAACAGTCTTGAGCAGTCAGACAGCTCAAACAGTCATAAACTAGAGAGAGAGACAGAGATGAGATGCAGAAAGGCAAGAATGTTAACTGGAATATTAATATCTGGTAGCCTACCCTGCACTGGGGAAGCTTCGGTTAAGGAGAAGCAGAAAATTAAGGAAGAGCGGAATGAGGGAGGGAGGGCAAGAAAGAAACACACACACAAACACACAGGAGTGTCACAATCATTCCACAAGGCGATGCTAGCAGGAACTCCAACGGCGTCTTTCTCACTTTCTGGCATGAAGCTCGATCTTTCCGGCATTCAAAGATTGATTTCTCAGAAAGGGGCTTCATTTGGATGCACAGGAATACAGTATGCAACAGAATTCCCAAGTGTTTTGGATACACTTTTGAGCTAAGAACAACAAAAGAAGCTGCAGAAACTTTCTCACCAGCAGTGGCAGAGCGAAGTAGGAGTCAAGGCACAGGAGCAGCACCAACAGGGCCGACAGGAAGTAATAGATCGCTGCTGTGCGGGCATTTGGTGATGCTGCGAAGATGCGCACAGAATCGTAGTAAGCCTCCGCAGAGACAGTCATTATGCCTCTACCGCGTGACTCTTCGACCACTATACACAATAAGAAGGGGTGTGCAAAATATGACATATATGCATGCGAATCAAATGCTAATAAGCCAAAAGAAAACAGTATTCAAAGATTGAATTTTTGAGCCTCCTTTAAAAAGTTGCAAAATCAGAAGGACTACTTTTGTTATTCTCATCTGGTAAATTGCGCTACTCTCTTATAGAGACAAAGTAACGGGACACTTTTATTTAATTATTTCCGAATGCATAGATCTCTATGGGGATCTTCACTTACTTCACTATACTTGTGACATTACTATGCATTCCATTTAATTACGCTGTTTTTGGTGTACAAAGAAGAAAGAAAAAACTGTAATTATGCACAGTGCGATTTCGAAACATTTTGTCGAACACACCAACACATGATAGTGTGGAGTTTAAAGAATATAAATGTTCTTCACCTGCTATGGTGAAAATATTTAGTAGAGATGTAGCTGTACCGCTGATGTTCTGAAAAAAGAAAAAAGAAAAAGCTATAAAACAAAATTATACAAAAATTAAACAAAAGAAAAATATAAAACAAATAGTCATTCAGCTCTATGAGAGAACAAAAAATAAGAATTAGCACAAAAGTTATCACAGCACAATCTTTTTAAGAAGCATTTGTGAGCCTGTATCTTCATTAAGGCAGTCATGCGTATGTTGCTGTATGTCGTCCTAATCTTTCTGCTTTATAAATGTCAACAAAACATATCTAGCACACGAGTACCAAAAAACAAATCAGAAGGGCATTACTCCATTTAAAACAACCATTAGGATATCAAGATAATTAAGCAAACGTGTTGTTAATTGGGCAAATGTGTTGTTTGCTTACCGAACCAAGCACGACAGCATTTGAATATTTGCCTGGAAGCCGGGCAGCCACGCCATAAATGCTGTTCTGGTGGACACCACAGGCCACTGCAGCAACACATCAAGAGAGATGGTGTAGAAGTTACCAGTAATAGTAAAATGCACATCAATGATTAGCAAATATTAGCAAATACACATCGACGTGGTGTTACACCACTTGAAAAACCATTACAGGTATCTCCCTATCTCTACAGTGATGAGTATCAAATGCGTAGTTATTGATAAAGCAATAAGTGCCTTCACTTGTTATGTTTTCTCACAACCCACTGCACCTTGGAAGAGTTCGCTATATACCATTGCTTCAATTATTAACTGATAATTCTGTGAAAACTAGCTAAAATGTATGAGCTAAATGTGGCACCTTTTTTGTAAGTTTGCCTGTGATTTAATTTAAAAAAGAAAGGACGCTGTCGCAAAATGCTGCAGACCTAGCTCTCAACGATTTTGGAAAGATGGCCTTGACCCATGGAACAAAGACTAATACTCTTGAAACCAGTTATAGCTACGAGATATTTTTACCACAAGTAGGAATGTTTTCACTGAGCGCAAGTCTGAGTACAACAAGAAGCTGAGCAAATTTCCGGAGCCGTTAACCCATAGGCACTCATGACACTGCTACTTACTCCAAAAAGTTATGTGAGGGCTCCAGGATAAATTTGATTTGAAGTGACTGTTGTTGAACCAATGCATAGCAACAATCAATATTTCCTTCCCTGTACTAATTCTCAGGTGTGATGAGTGTGTGATGTCGCAAAAAAAAAAAAAAAAAAAAAAAAACCATGTGGCACCTGTGAAGAACACTGTCAGAGTACAGGTTGTTCCTTCACTTCCACATCACTTTGACATGATTTCTTTAATGTAACCTTTGTTGTTTTTACAACCTCTGCTGGGTTCCAATTTTAATTCCTAAACTGGGATAAACCCATGATTCAGATTTGTGAGCATGCCGACTGACAGCACTGTACACAACATCCAGAACAAAGTTGGCCAGCCACAACAGCGAAAGTTTGGTTTACAACAGTCACGAAAGTGTGTCGGGTCTTTGTTTCTATTTTTCACATGCCTTACAGCAGCAGTGAGTACACTTTCATTGGTGCAGCAAGCAAACGCAGTTACATGGTGTCTACACCTTGAAACCACGACATGACTGAGAGAGGTGCTGCTGTGGAGAGCTCCAGAAATTTTGATCGTCTGGGTGCACTGACATCGCTCAGCGCACAGGCCTCAAGCATTTCACCTACATTGGAATGCACCCGCCATGGCCGGGATCAAACCCGTGACCTCGGGTCAGCAGCCAAGCACCATACACACTGCTCCACTGCAGCCAACAGATATGCACAGATATGGATTCAGGTATGCACAGTTAATTAAACTTTGCAAATCTTTATGGGGGTTCTCAAGCGACACTCTTCCAAAGTTGAAGCCACGCATTGATGAACTGTCGAAAATGAAGTGATGTGGCACGTTTGTTGTATGTTTTTAGAAGCAATAAATGGCACCTGTTTCACGCTCCTGTTTAATTAATTTACCTATGTAGCCCCCCCCCCCCCTCCCTCCCCTCCGCTGCAAGGGGTCTCCCATCACTTCCACCAGTCTACAAGGGGTCCCCGACACATCCATGGCTGAGAACCACTGGTTTATGTATATATCGCCCAGTTTGGGAGCTCGTTTGTCCTTGACATGCGTAGGCCAAACAGAAAACAAACACTTATCAAACAACAAGAAGCCCTGAAGTACTGTATTAACCTACCGAAAAGAGACATGCCTTGCTGCATAAAAATTCACCGAGTCAAGAAAGTAAAACAAACCACCACCAGCTTGTAGCATGAAGCCATGGGGAAATTCGTACAAACTTTTTCACAGAAAGTTTCCATTTGTTGAAAAATTGTCTTGGTTTGATCCTCAGACAAGGATCAACTTTTCAGAAGTTCTGCAAGAAATTTGTATGGGTTTCCTAGCGACTTGATGCTAAGAACTGGTGGTCGTAGCATGTTTACGTTCTTGACCTTTCCACCCCCCTTGCAGGTTTAGCAATGAGTGCATGAGGCTATTATGCAATTGGAGCGACTTACTGTTCAGCACGACCACAAGAGCCATTGTTATGTAGAAGAATGTGATTGGCCCTGTAAGAAAGAGCGTTCCGTTGAATCCACGACAAGAGAATCGGCAACTATGAGACCCCTACATTTAGGCAGTCATAAAAATGCTACTGATTACATAGCAACATTTTTTAGTGATGAAAGAGCCGGTGTCCGAGTAGCCAGGTCTATGCTGTAAAGGCATATCTCCAGTTTAGTCCTCCTCCTTTTTGTACTTTATCAATGGCTCAAGCTCTATTGTATGTTCAATAACATCCTGATTGGAAAGTTATAAAATGGATCAAGCAAATAGAATTAGGTGAACTATACTAACATATTATCCTGATCATACATTGAACTTCTCACACTTCAGACAGGAATAACTACAACTATACTCCGTTCGGTTAGATAAATACTGCAGAAACATCGTTGATATGTTTCCGCTTATATGATTTCCTGGCTCCTACACTCACAATTACGAAAAATAAAAATAGCCCAATATAGACCTGTGTCCAATTCGTTCTGGTTAATACATTTTCAACAAAATATATTTACTCAGCAGCAACATTCAGCCTCACAGAAAAGTGCAGTCGTATAATACGTTCTGGAGCCAGACACTCTCATTCAGGTGAGCAAAAAGGACCATATTGTGTACTTATGAAGTGTAAAGCGGCAGACAACCGCTGCACGGCGATGGCGGCTTCTCCGCAGCGCCTCGTTTTCCCCTCCACACTGCTGCGCTCAATTGCTAAATTGTCCCCTCAGCTTCCTCTCTGAATTACTCACTCCATCATCCCCCTACACGCATTCTCAAAACTGCTCAACCACCGTATCCTGTCAGCACCGTAACTGGCTGGCTGACCTTTAAATGCCAGCAAGATGCCAAAAGTTCAAGAATTGGAGAGTAACTTGATGTTTTTTTTTTTTTTTGAGAAATAAATCTTTAGGGCTCTTGCACCTCATTACGGGCTTGTCAGCCTCAGTTTTTACTGGGTTCGGATCATATGATTTCCCAGACCATAAGCTATTTTTGTGGCTTTTTTTCGGAAAGGTGTCAGCGAGGTTCTACTACATTACAATTGGTTATGTTTTGATGAAACTTCGACTGGTACTAATGCTAGCAAATCATTTAGCCAAGCAAAGAAACATCCAGAGAAAATGCAACAGCAGCTCTGAGTACATTTATCAATGTTGTCCCACATGACAGCATCACAAATCACTTTAAACTGTGATATTATAATGACTTATCTGCCAGGTTCAAGAATTATGAATCTCGGAGATTTTCCGCATCAGGAAGGCCGGGGGTCGCACTGATTCGTTTGCTCCCCCCCTTTTGTCGCAACAAAAAAAAACGAGAGGAGGGGGGGGGGGCATGAACATAGGCAATGCGGTCTTGTAACGGCTTGGAGTGGCCAAACGCATGAGGGTGGCATTTCCCAACTACCGTAAAAGGTGCAAGTCTCAAAGTGGTGCACAAATATTCATATCCATTAAAATTTTGCGTCATCAAAACCACTGGCAAGCCCATTTGCCAAAAGAACTCGGATATTTCTTCTTGCGACACATGTGAACGGACGACATGGCGCAGCCGACTTTCGAGAATGCGCAGGTCGAAGTTTCACCTGAGGCCAACTGAAAACTGAATGCCAAAGTATCGTCGAAGTAAGCAGATTGACGGGAACATTACTAGATTTTTTGGACAGGAACGTCAAAATGCTTCTAGCATTTAAGTCTTTAATGCATTTAATCTACCGCTGTGTTACCCGTGTGCTCTCGGCTAGTAGTCGTTACTGATGATCGCACCGCCACGACCACGATATTGCGGGCGGCAATTGTAGAAAGAGGCAGTTCCGTATTGAATACGCGTGCACTGGCTACACATGTGCCTCCAAAACTAGCCATTTTCTGCTATCTATGATCGCATCTTCTGCCACGCTTTTTTTTCACAGCTTTAGTGGAAAGCAACATCACTTTCAATGGTCTGGCCTTGGAAGCGCGTTCCCTTTCGGAGTTCCGTCAGCCACCTCGTCGGCATACATAATCGTTTCAAGAGCCACCACGGTTTCGTCCACAGTGGTTGTGGCATACAATTACCACAGTTTTGACAGCGCATGCATTGACCGCGCGCATCCTTCTGAAGCTTCAAGCACGCTGCTGTCGGACTTTATTCGACTGTTTCAATAAAAGTTCATATAAAAGGAAAATTGCTTGGAACGTCCGAAATTAGGCCCAATAAACAGAGTGGAATTTGCCAGTTTCAGCACCATTGAGATTCTACGGTACATTTAGACGAACGTCCCCTAAATTCGTTCACAATAATATGCGATGGGTTTGCGAGAAGCCAGGGTCAGATTGGCCTGCATTTCTGTTAATGTGGCCAGATCACGCACGGAAATTTCAATTTGCGGGAGATTTTCCTGACAACTGTACAAACGTAAAAACTGGTTGAACTCTGGGAGACTTGGAAGGTATGTACCGTATTTACTCGCGTAATCCTCGCACTCGCATAATTCTCGCATCCCCCCCCCCCCCCATCGGCCAACAAAAATATGATTTCTTTTTTCCCTCGAGTAATTATCGCACCCCCAAAAACTGCCGCAATAATGTCATCTGCTCATTCAAACCACTGATGATGATAGCACGCACCATCTGGTGCCATCTCTTGTGCATCAAGCGTATTATTATTGCACGGAGATTAAATTCAATTCAAGCCAAAGTGGCAAGTGCGCGTTGCGGCGTGTTTTGTACGTATGTTGTGTCGGTAATCTTGTCACGTTATGGGGCGATACCGAAGCTACACGGCTAATTTCAAGCTGTGATAGATCATGCACTAAACAACGGCAACAGGGCCCCCGGTAGGCCCTTCGGAGTCTACAAGTTTTGTGTTCGCTACTGGTGACGGCAGCTGAAAGCCACCAAGACGCGTTGGGCCTTCCGTGTGCCTAAAACTGGGATTGATGGTAAACTTTATTTCTTCTGAAGGAAACTGCAGACGATTTTGTTAAATAGCAATTAACCCAATACTGACGTCCTACGCTTACCTTTTGAGGGCTCCTGTTGAGCGACAAACGCTATCGCTACGCCCGCAACACCCACAAGCTTTGCGTTTGGTATTCTAATTCTCGACTATTTCCTTGCACTTTTTGTGTCTCAAATAAAACTTGCCTTGTGTTGAACCAGTGCTTTTATTATTGAGGTAAGATTTAATTAGTGCTTCTCAAAGCTTGCTGTTAGTTGCTGGTGTGAGAATCCCGATTTGCGACCACTTTCCCCGTAAGTTTTCCCCGCCTAATTCTCGCACCCCCCCAACTACGCATCAGTTTTCCATGAAAAAAAGTGCGAGAATTATGCGAGTAAATACGGTAATGAGGACCACCATAGTATGAGACTCCACATTAGTTTTGGCCACCTGGGCTTTTTTAAAACGCACTAAAATCTATGCACATCGGTGTTCTTTACATTTAGTCCCCATCGAAATGCAGCTACAGCAGCCAGGAATCAAATCAGTGCCTTTCTTCAGTAAGTTTTATAGCAGCGCACGTAAAGGACAAGAAAAAAAAATGAAGGCGCATATACACATACAGAGCGCTCTGTCTGACTATATGTGCCTTGATTTTTCCTGTCTTTTACGTGCACTACAAGAAAACCTACTGAAGTTGTCCTACCATCAAGCCTGTATCACATCTCCCGTGCCCCTCACAATTCATTAGCACTTTCTAGGGATTCAATTCCATCAGCCTAGAAAGAAAATTGAAGGCTAAATTTTTCGATTACTGATTAAACACACATGCCCTAATGTAATTATTGTCATGGGATCCATGCTCTGCAAATTTCCAACCACAAATGTACATCCATGAACTTCATTAACACACTCACAAAAAAAGTCTATCCATGCAAAATGACACTGCACAAAATTACAAGAATTAGCCACCTCGAAGTAATATGCGTGTATTAAATTAGATTTGCACTAATGTTTTGCGTACATATTTCAATGCAAGTACGGGCTTTTTATATACACAATTTGCACGGAAATACCGGCACCATTACTGATACTCCAATAAATGAACTAAACAAGCAATAAATATGGCAATGCTCAAGCGCACAAAAAGGCTTTGCTGTACCTATGAACCGTAACGGTAATTAGTGAACTTTACAGCATGAAAGTGAACTACCGTTTCCATGTATGACTTCAACAGCAGCAAAATTTTGTTCACACAGTTCTATGCACCTCAACAAATGTATTTAGTACTGGAAATATTACAAAACAAAAACACTCTTACATGCAGAGGAATCCACCATGGCCAGTACAACAGTTGCAATGAACACGGCAGCTTCAACAAGGATGCTAATGACGATCCTCGGTGTGAGGCTACGGTCTCTAAAATTGAGAGAAAAAAAGAGTACGTTCACTGCATCTATTACTCCAGATGCACAGCACAGAGGAATTCTACATAAAGTGTATGATCAACTACATTCACATTCAAAAACTATGGAATGATCTCAGCACAGTGAACAGAAAAGGATTATATACATATGTGTACCGCAAGCATTAAAGTACAATCAGCATTATGATTCCAAAGAAAAACTTTGAATCACTCACTGTTTTCATAGATTGATGCAAATAGAATGGGAAAGCCAACGTCGGAAAAGTGCGCCAGCCCCAACAACATTGCGTGGATATAACCTTACGCGAGTGATAGCCAGGCCTTCACTTCTTTTCCTGGTGTCAGTCCTGTGCGTTGTAAATTTGCCTACACTCCCATGCTGGCTGACAGTTCCACAGGATTTTTTCTTTTTCTATCTTTTTTTAAGTTAGTGCCTGGCAAAAACAAGAGGCTCTAATAGCTTAACGCCAGGTTTTGGCACAGAACGTGCAGTGAACCTTGATGCCATAAGGTCTGCCGATGATGCATATGCCATTAATAAACCATGCAAGAGAAGGCTAGCAACTTCTTTTCCTAAAGCTTCTCGAACAGATATAAACAGAGATTTTATCTGGCTGGAGATATCTTGCCCTGCCTAACCCAACCTACCTACGCGGTGCATCATTTTTGCAGTGACTACACTTGTTGTACAGTGAAGGCTTTTGGCTGTCTCAAGCATAAGAGATTGCTAAAATTAACTAGACGGGACTCTGGTGCTGCGATCGTTCAGTGACCATGGGAATAATTGGTACGACGTAGATTTGCCTAGTCTTTGTGCTTGCAAGTAATGAATCCACTCGTGGCTTCAGTTATTGCTGTGTTCCGGTTTTGTTGGGAAGGAAAGAACAAAGCGTTTTTCACTTTGTGACCCGATTGGAAGTGGTAAGCCTAAAATATTAAGGTGGTGATGCGCAACTGCCAAACATTCGCCCATTGTTGTTTCGTGACAAAGCAGCTTCAAGCCACGCAAAGCCAGAAGAAATGTAAAGTACGAAAGCTAGGCAAATCCATGTCATACCCACAATTTCTATGCTCGCTGAAGCGCTATGTATTACACTAGCGCCAGAGTTCCCTATAGTGTATATTTAGGAAAATCTATGGCCCCAAGTGCTTAGTTATCAAGGCCTTTATCTGTAATAATAAGGTATGCTAGAAACCATGCGAGTGTTTTTACTCAATCTTTACCAAAGATGAGCTGAGCTCGTCCACATAGTTTGTACCACCCCTGCCTAACGTCCACACAATGAAGTTACTCTAATTCATTTTGCCGAGTTCTCCTTCGCATGAGCAGATGGTGCAGCAAAAAATTTTTAAGGGACACAACGGAGAAACAATGACTTGGTTTAGATAGACCAATGTACTCTGAGAACTCTAATGTCATTCATGTACTATCATTAGTTCATTATTAGCAGGAAAAACCAGTTGAACTTTTATTTTTAAACTTCATGCTGAAATCTACACACATAACATCAAAAATTTTAATATGTATTAATCAAATTTTCACAAAATTTGCTCGACAAAATTATCTGAACTTTGTAAGCTAGGTCTATGGCACTGTTTACAGCCAAAAAGATCTGTAGGGAATTAAACCAAAAAGTAAACACGTATTCTTTCTGCAGCTATGTCTTCTTAGTACTTACCCAAATTGAAGAAAAAGGTTGAGAAAATTGCACAGCAAATTTGGCACCTGAGAGGCCAATGTAATGTAATTCATAAAATCATTCCTGTACAGCGCTAGCTCGCTCGCATCGGCAGAGTCATTTGCAAGCACACCTGGTGCCAATTTGTAGTTCTTGAAATACTGAAAAAATAAAAACAGGAGCAAAAAAATTAGAAAATGCGGCAATGATTTTTTCGCTATCAATGCACGATGGTGAACGATTGTCCCCCCCAAAAAAGTACACTACATCTGGGTAAGGCTACAACACATCCACAATTATTTAGAAACAGTATTACTATAATTGAGCCTTAATCATCCATAAAAAAATCAAACGATACATTTAAGCTCCTGAAGCCCTCCCAAAAATAAGGTTTTTTCGCACTTAAAGTGCTCTCTACTAACTATTGACAGTTTTCAGAATAATGGTTGTCACCTTAATATGTTAAAGTTAAGCACCTTGTGGAACATCCCGGTATGCATCCAAAACATTCAGATAGACCAGAAGAAGACAAATTTAAGAACATGAAAAAAAAATCGTGCCTTGTGCCAGAGATAACGATTCTTGTAAACACCTGTCGTTTCTATACAGGCACGTTTCGCTTGGCCTAGCAATGCCACAGTAGCCGAATGATCTCAAAATTCGAACATGCTGTGATTGATAGGTATGTCGGGTTTAACGTCGCGAAACGACCACATGATTATGAAGGACACCGTAGTGGAGGACTCCAGAAATTTCGACCCCCTGGGATTCCTTAACGGGCATCCAAATCTGAGCGCACGAGCCTACAGCACTTTCACCTCCATCGAAAATGCAGCTGCCGCAACTGGGATTCGATCCCGCAACTTGTGGGTCAGCAGCCGAGTACGTTAGCCACTAGACTACCGCGGCGGAGCTGGACCGGCTGTGCAGCCATAACTAATAATACAGGTTAGTTCAGAAGCAGCAGAAGTCAATTTTATCTAGTACTGCATATTAATGCCAACAAAACTTTAATTAGACATATTGACATTGTAGAAGGCACTATGGGGGCTGCCATGTATGACAGCACTACCTTTCAGCAGGTGTAAATCTCATGTATTTAAGAATTGCCATGTAACATACATTAACGTGGTGCAAGTAGACAGCTGAAATGCATGGCACATGCCCAGTAAGGACAATGCTATTTCATTGCATACGTAGTGTGTTCTCTTTCGCTGTAAACACTGTCCTAAATCTGTCTTGTATCACATGGCAAACTAAATACTTACAGACTTGGCATTAATGAACATATTCCAAGGCATGAGTGTGCCTATGCCATGGATAAGCAGGATCAAGTACAGCAGGTTGTAGGAGTCCTTGGGACTTGTCTTCACTGCTGGTAATCCATTGAGCTCTTCACCTCTTTCACTTATGTGCCTACATAAAAGACAGTCATATGATATCGGAACTTTTTTATTGCCACGAAAACATTAGCCTCTCAGATGTTTCTGGCGCTTAGTTTCACATATTGTTGCCAGATTTCACATCTGCAAATACTAGTTCTTTTTAAGGTTTTTTAAGGCCACAGTTCTAATGGGAAAAGAATTCTCAGAGAACAAGATGCTGTTCCGTCAAAGTTTGATAGAGCTCACTTAGATGAGGATACAAATTATAATGGCAAGAATTTCGCCACAAAACAAACTGCTCTTGTGTCGCAGTTAGTGGTGCAAAGATGGCAATTAGAGAGAGAAAAATGTATGAAGTGTGCCACAACGGTACTCCTATTTATTTTCAGAAAAAAAAAAACAGCCTTTAGTCTTGCACTTTTTTGCTTCATTTATAGAATGGGTCTCACTCTGACAGACTTGATGCCTTCAGCTAATAGGCAAGGAATTATTGGTCAGCTGCCAGCTCGCAAGTACTACATGATGCCAAGCAGTGATAATAATAATAGTAATACTCGGGGTTTTACGTCGCAAAACCACGATATTATTATAAGAGAAGCCGCAGTGGAGGGCTCCAAAAATTTTGAGCATCTCGTGTTCTTTAACGTGCCCTGACATCGCACGGTACACGGGCCTCTGCCATTTCGCCTCCGTCAAAATGTGACCGCCACTGCCTGGATCGAACCCGCGAACGTTGAATCAGCAGCTGAGCACTGTAGCCACCGTTCCACTGAAGCAGACACGCTGTCGCCAACAGGAAGAAAAAGTGTGTACCACACTCTCTGTCATGGCTACTAGCATCACTAACACTGCCAGGTTCAAAAGCATATTATATATATATATATATTGTTACGCATGCCTGGGAAGAAAACGAAGATAAGTGAACATGCTGGCTGCCCCAAGCTGGAGGAGGAAAGAAGACGACGACACTGCGATCATCAACCTGTTGGCCTTGAAGCGTTAGATGGCTGATCTTGGGCCATTACGATCGGCGCAGGCGGGAGTCCGGCAAGGCGGCGGCGGCGGCGTAGTCCAGGTAGTGAAGCTCCCATCGTTGGGCTTGTCTTACCCAGCACCTCCACCAATCTGTTACGCACAAGGAGGACCAGGACGTATACGGCTGAAGGGGGACATTTATTTTGGTAGCGAAGAGAAGCGCCGGAGCGACCAACACGTTGATGATCGCAGTGTCGTCGTCTTCTTTCTTCCTCCAGCTTGGGGCAGCCAGCATGTTTCACCTATCTTCGTTTTCTTCCCAGGCATGCGTAACAATATATACACCCCATAAAGAGGATGAGGGGGGATGACCACCGCAGTAGCTCAATTAGTAGAGCAACGAACGCATTATCCGAAGGTCGCAGGTTCAGTCCCTGCCAGCGGCAAGTGATCTGTTTTTGCACTTTCTTCACATTTCGCCGTAACAACTACTAATACAGCCAATCCTGGATATATAAAACTTGGATAAATTGAATTATTGGCTATGTAGAACAGTTGAGAAATCCCCTTGAATTTTCCACGCAAAATTACAGGACCGGTGCAGCCACATACAGAACTCCCGCACCGCAGGACATCCGCTATATCGAACGCCGCGCCAAGGCCCAGAAAGCATATTTTTCCTAGCAAATATTGATCAATTTTTGAACGCGTTATAGCAAGTACCGACATGAAAAGGTGGTATTATTCAATCGCCCTAATCCATTTCGTCATGCGGGGCTTGCGAGTGCACCAGTATGTTTGATGCCCGGCAGGTCTCAACGCCTGCCCATACTGTTCTTCATAAAGACCGATTGCCGAGGACACCCAAAACAGAATGCAAAGTAACTCGGCGATGTCGTTGCAATGTTTGCATTCCCTCCCTTGTTTGTTAGTGCACAATGGCATGCGAGCCTGAAAAGCATGGCATTCAAGGTTTGCAACTTTTTGACGTATTTTCAGTGTTCTTGGTTTAAAAATGCATGTCTCATAGGCTATGCTTTTTGCATCAAAGCAGCTGAAAGTAGCAGCTGCCAACTACGAAGGTACAAGTGACATCGATATAGCTAACATGTCGACTCTGGGAACTCGACATTTTCTTTCGCACCTTCTGGAGTTGTTCACTTCTCACCTCGTTTCTTATAAATCCTCATTTGGGAATTGAACTGAATGTAGATCCGCACGTAGCAATGAAAACTATGGCTGGACCTTCGAGCGATATCAAATAAAGCACCGTTGTAAACTTTCCTAGCGGGCCAGGTGACAACTTCGGGTGCGTTTCGGAGCGTTTTGAGTACTGCTAAGAGTGCCAACTAACAATCAGTTTAAATGTTAGCGTGTCCAGCAGAATCAAAAACTGTCGTCACCTAAAAAGATTAACAAGGCGACACCAGTTTTCTGTAGTGCTTACACAAAAAGACCGCGTCTAGATGACACTAGATCCTCGATTTTTTTTACCCAGCCACATGTCATAGTTGAGTTTCACAGCGGTAAAGAAGAAGTCCAAGTGTACCTCTGCGACCATAGATATATTGTATTTCATAGTCATCAACACTTTATCTAATATCTTCTCAAGCCGAATCACTGGAATGGAACACCCTAGAAACTGCCATGACTATATGAATTGGTAATCAATTAGCTCCGAGCCAGACCCTAAGTGTTGGCTCATGTTCACAACAGAGCACAAAACAGCTTGCGAGAAAAGAAAACAAGGGTAGCTTCAATAAAAATGTTTATTTCACCATCTGCAGATGCATCACAAAGAGCAGCTCGCCTCCTTAAAATTGCACGCAGATTTCGTGCCATAAAACGAGGTTTAAATATGTGAACCAATATTTTCCCAAGAAGAAACAATAAAATTAACTGAAATGCCTATATGTAACCAGCACTGGCTAAATGCTTCAATATATTCTTTGTTAAATCCCCCATTTCAGTCAAAAAGAAGAGGAGCTATGGAAACATAAGGAGGCCTTACGCATGAGAGCCACGCTGAACTGCTGGCGCCTGGTTCCGTGGTAAAATGAGGACTTCATTTTCCTCCAAGGGGCGAAGCGGAAATTCGTTTCCTCTTTCGACCATGCTGGAAGCGTAGCCTTGGGCCCAAGTAATTTAGTAGTGTGCGTATGCCTGCAAATGAAAAAAAGAAAAATAAGAAGGGTAATCCAGTCATCATCAATACAAGAAAAAGATCAAACAGCAACCTGCACTTGTGTACCATATCCATCGTAATTATGAAACATTACAAATTATTGAAGGCTTAAAGAACAAGCTGAAGAATAAACATCACAGCTGATACGTTAACGCAATGTTTTCAAGTCACAGGCTCTAACACAATGTTCATGTTGCTGGCTGATTAGCGTACCATTTCCGGATACCACTCGTACACAACTTTAGCCAGGTTTTTGTTTTTAATGCAGTGACGGTGCAGCGACCTTACAATAACAAGTAAGCACACGTGAACATGACTGCACCAGGTACACAAAAACATGCTTATCTACAGCCCCTTCAGAGGCACTGAGGATGATTTTCATTATTTAAGTATGAACAGAGCTCAGAAAATATGACAGAATGCGATAGTGCTGCTATCCCTGAACAACAAAACTACAGTACTTAAAACAAAGCGTGAGAATTGACTGTGACAAGTGATGCAAGTCACAATTACCCCTCTACATCTTGTACATGGAGCAGTTGAATGACGCGTTTTTTTTTTTTTCCAGGGCGACGTTCATTAGCGCCTAGGCTTGTTCGGCATCTGTCAATGTTCCAAGCGCCCATACTCATATCATAATACCTGCTACACAGCTGTGAAAAAAACCACCTGCACCATTAAAAACAAGTTAAAAGAACAAACAAAAGGGGACAATATAAAACACCTGGAAGCACAAGTCCTTTATACTAGAGGGCGAATTTGGGACCTAGCCTTGTCATTAACACTCGCTGTCCACTCTCACGGGAGATAGAAAACTATTGCTATAGGCAACACATATGTACATATGTGAATAAAAAGAAGTTTACAACTGACAAAGAACAATCACAATTGTGACAGTACAATATAAAACTACATGCGCAAACCCTTTATACTAGTCGGAGACTTCAACATAAACCTTATGGACCTAGACCCAGAGCTTCTTCATTGACTCTTAGTGAGTTTATGTCACTCAATTGACATTATATCCGCCAACACTCAAGTAGCAAATGAGACACAAAAACAAGGTTTAACAATACACTAACATCAATCATAATTGTGGCAGAACTATGCAAAACACCTATAAGCACAAACCCTTTACACAAGTCAGCGACTTCAACGTAGACATTATGAACCTAAAGACATAGCTTTGCCCACTTTTCATTCACTTCGTGAAGACGGGTAGATTTTTATTTGAAAGTTCATTCTGAATAACGATTTTTCTAATACTGTCAATGACCTGTATATTTCATTATTCAACAAGAAAAAAAAAAGATCAGCCAGTGACAAGTACAACTGGACCGAAAATCAGTAGAAGTAGTCAAGCAGATAGTGTAAATATGTATTCACAGTAAATAATAAAGACAACCCAATCAGTGTTGCTTGGTTACAAAGCAACAAGCAAGACACTGACCATTGTACGTTATGCACACATTAAAATGATACACTAACCATAGCAAACTACATACGATGTTTAATTTTTAGCTGGCTGAGAACCCCCTACAACATGACTGCAAACCACCTATTCAAATATTTACCAGATTTTTCATATTTATTAAGAACATTATTTGACTTTGTACACAAAGAATATTTGCATATGTAATTTTGAATAAAACATTTTTGTGCCTAAGAGCAGACTTTTATAAAAATAAATAACAAGCAAATAATGCAAGTTGCTACAGAGTAATGCGCTAGAATAAAATAAATGACATGAGAACGAAATTTAGAAAATAAATATTCTACTTAATTTTAATGTGAAGTTTAAAGTTTGATGGAAGCCTGTCTGGTCAGGATGATACATGATTGAAGGTAAAAAAACCCTGGAGACACTGTGCCGGCGACAGTAAAATTTTTAAAATGCTTAAAAAAGAAAAAGAAAACACAGCAAAAAGACGTTTCGGCTCCCACACAGAAGCCTTGTTCACAAGTGAAATGAAAACATCTGTAAAGCAGTTCGCCTTATGTAGGTTTCAATATATCATGCGTGCAGCACGCATATACTGACGGCAGTTTAGCATTGTTTCTGGTTAAAGTGCGTGCAGTGGTTTGTATCACGCGTGACTCAAGATAAAGACGCCGTGACAAAACATCTTTTTGCTGTGTTTTTTTTTCTTTTTTGGACTTTTTGAACATTTAATTTAAATGTACTGAAATTATCTCTATAGCTGGTAGCTACAGAGAACATAAAAAGCTTCGAACTTTTTTAATATCAAACTGATACATGCCGAAATAGACATTTTAATTAGAAAACAGAGGTTGTAATGTAGAAATGGTTAGTTTTGTTTGGTAAAACAATTGGTCAGATTGTTAACAGCAACATCAATGTAAATTTTTGTATGAGAACTATTGGGAACACACAATTGCCAGTTTTCATATTATGCAGCACACACATCTGGTTAACCACACTAGCATTCAAACCAACCCTTCCACCCCCACCCCCCCCTTTTTTTTTGTCTCATTTTTACTGCAGTAGCAGCCTGCGTCCATAACCTAAGAACACTACATGAGAGAGAAGAGACTATCGATGTGCGCTTAAGAGTTGCTACGTTGGTGTTCCAAGTGTCAAGAGCACAGATAAGAAATTCCCTTGAATGCTACACGTGGTAGTGATGCAATGATTGGGTGCATGGCCGATAAATATTTAGTTACAGCAGCACATATCAATTCTCGAGCTGAGCACGAAACAAACGTAACCTTATGAAGAGCGGTGACGAGGCAATAGAAAAATAATATGTGTTACTTTCAGAAACCAGGACACAGACAACCTTAGATGAAAATAAAACTATCCTAGAACGCAAACAAGGCAATGCTTATGAGCCAAACTAAAAAGCAATAAAAAAAAGTATTAAGGTGGATATTCCATTAAGCAGTGAAGATAAGACATGCTCAGATGCAGAGCAAAAGGGCAATGCACTGGACTGCCTTGTGGGCTAGACAGTAAAGTTTACAGTGCCAAAATAAGACAAAACAATGTGGTTGTGCACAAGTACCTAAATTCTGCACTTTTATCTAAATAATAACTTTTGACTGATGTGTCACCAGACAGTTCATATGAATGCTGACTATACTACTAACTTTCCTGAACCTATTACCTCATTCATTTTAGCTAAATTAGACTAACCAATTATGCACTCCAGGAAGGGAGAAAAAGGAAGCCACAAGTGGTTTCATTTTGGTGAAACAGAAACTAGCGTGCAGTCGTAACTTGAGCCACGTATTTGTGAACACTGAGGTAAAACAAATGGTTACGTTAGTGTAATGGGACGAACAGCTTCAGACAGCGAACATTCAATACCACTCTACTTCCGTTTTTCCACCTTGAAACTGAATAGTAGCACTCTTCCAACATATAAAACAGTTTTTAATACATAACTATAACGTTTCCCATCTTGGCACGGAATAGTAGCACTCTTTCAACGTATAAAACTGTTTTTATTGCATAACTATAGTTTCTTTTTTTTTTTTTCAAGTTGTAAAGAAATGTACGTCAAGGTATCAAAAGCGTGTAGGTTATTAAAAGCGAACACAGTGGTAGTAAACGGTACGAACGGGGCAAACGTCACGACGGCAAAAGTTGAGCTTTCAGGAGCCTCGCTTTCACTGGGCACAGAGGGGTGAGCCCAGGCGCACGTCAAACCTCAATTGCCTATTATTCATGATATTACACCGGCCCCATTCGAAGGCCCTTTTGAGTTTCACGCCGTTGCCGACAAAGGCGCCGCGCCAATTCCTTTTATGCAGCAGCAATGGTTCTTAAGAGGTCGGCCCCTTCGTCAAACGTCACGACTGTTCGAATATTATTTTTATTTCACAACGACGAAACCTTCTAAACAGTCACTTTACTTACCAATGCCGATACCTCAGTTTCTACTGGCAAAGAGGCCAATCGTTACAAAACCGACAAGAACAGCAACAAAAGCTGACAGCACTTACTTCTAGAGAAGTTACAGGTTGTGTAAGAAGCGATCGATCGGTCGGAATCGAAGGCGAACAAACCGAAACGATTTTTAACTTGGGCTTTATTCTTTGAATAGATGTGACGAGTAGCGTCTAAACTACCACCTTCACCCAGCCCGTTTTTTTGTTTTTTTTCCAAGTTCAACGACCATATATATATCTCGGTTTGAAACAACAAACTTAGGCGGTTGTGGCGCATGCAATCTACAAAAGAAACGCTTTCCACGGCGACGTAAGGTCGCTATTCTTAGGCGCTAAAACGCGGGAGATACTTCCGTCGCCTTTGGTGAGCGCTGGAAAGTGTTATTCGCCTAACCGCGAAGAGAACTCGCCCGTAAACTACTAGGTCAGCAAAAGATACACATATCTAACATCGCTTGCAGCTCGGCAATGGTTAAACGAGATAACTGAGCGCCAGAAATCGCCCTACCACCACTTTACAAAACTACGGTGAAACCTCGGCCTTCCTACGATATCCAGGTTACAGGGGCAAACTGTTGCACGGAGATAACGCATTCCGATTGAAACAATGGTCGAGGCACGTGCGGTGTCAGCCCGCCACAAAGGGACGCGGTTTAGACACGTGAGACGTGCGGCCGCAGTCCCAGAGCGCACACTCGGCGGGCTTCCCTGCCGAAGGATGCCGACAAAGAGGGGCTAATTACGGCACCCACCTGATAACGCTGCCCGTAGAGGGACGGGTTGTTAGAGCTGTGATAACGGCATTTTCTCTGGCGGTCACCCAGGCACCGCGCTCCCTGTACTTCGTGGTGCCCGATGCCAACCGCGCCGCAGGCCTGAGCTCCGCGTGCCCTAAACGCCAGCAACGCTAGCTGCTCAAGCGTGGGGGAAGCCACTGCTAAAAAGCACCGCCACCGATGCCACTAAACATCACCGAAACCTCTCTTAGCGGGTTGCCAGCTTTGATTGTGGAGAATACGCGAAATCTAGCAGCACCGAAAATAGCGCTGAATTCGAAAAGTGGAAAAAAAAAAAGTTTAGCTGGAGAAGGACAATCCACTAAACGTTGTTAAGTTTGTTTCAACAGTAGCACACTCTCGCGCACAAATTTGAAGCTGCTTGGCTATACTACTAGACTGGCGTTTACAGTAGACAAATATACATCGAGCAAATGTGCGAGATGGCCATCCTACCTGATCCTACCTGAGCGGAAGGAATCTCTTCCTAGAAGTTAGAAACCTAATACACAGTAAAATACATGATAAATAAAAGAGTATATAAAGAAAAAAATATTAGGGGCCACAACAGCGGTGTTAAAAACTTCAATATACGCGCTTCGGTAACTGCCCTAGCTAGGGGAAAAAAAAGAAGGGGGGGGTGACGGAATGAACATCAATTAAGCAACAACATTGCTATTCACTGCCAGCCTATGACCGGAGAAAGTGAAATCGGGTGATCAAGTTAATAATTTCAATGAATTCAGCTCGCTAAAGGCAAAGTGAATTGGTGATCATCGGGAATGGGCACGGTCTTTGTTTTGCTGTGGGCATAAAAGTAAAATGATTACATATATGTAATTGAAAATCAAAGCACCCGTGGTAAGCCTAATACTTAATAATAAAGGAAAGCCTACTGTAGAGGGAATAGTACTCTAATGAATCGCTTCTGCGCGAGACATTGCTGGTTTACGTGAATCATTACCTAACTTTGCAAAACCTGGAACGTTAATGGACAACCAAGAAGTCTGTGCATTACAACAACAGTTGCAGCGAATATATTGAGCTAATACTGTAGAACTAGGAATTCCAGTCATATATTTCTCTATTTTACCTCTCCGCTCTGCAAAGCTACAGGTCCTTGATGGAGTAAATAAACAAATAAATAAATAAATAAATATCTCCTGCTTTTGTATAGGTACTGCGGTCTTAGCACTCTCACATATATGAGCATATCGTGATTATGTCGCCGCATATACGTATCGACTTCATTCATCTGTCGTTCCATGGATACATGACCTATGATACAACGTCGAAAGTACAAAAAGCCACAACGAATTTTCCTTTAATTCATTCAAACACCGAAGGAAATGTACTGCAGTGCTGTTCGGCGCTTAAGAGCAGAAAAAGAAGAAAAAAACTTGTAGGTATTTTATGCATTCGCCAAACAAGACTGGAAGGTAAAAGCCGTGTTCTTTTTCCTCTAATTGTGTGCAGCAATATCCCCCCCATCAATCCTTCCGAATACTTGCTGCATCTCAGTCAGTTTTGCATTGCCTCCGTGATCAGCTCATCTTGACCAAGAAATGATGTCATGTGATGACGTCACAAATTCTGGCAATTTGTGGCGTCATATGAAGCCGCAATCATGCCGTGATTTTTTTTTACATCACTCGTGTTGGCACTGACTGTCTCCTTTCGCTTTGATGAGGCATATAATAATAATAATAATAATAATAATAATAATAATAATAATAATAATAATAATAATAATAATAATAATACCTGATATGATAAATATGTGTATATGAGATATGGTTATGACAGACGCCGTAGCGGAGACCTCCGGAAAATTCGACAACCTGGTGTTCCTTAAAAGAGCCCCTAAACCACCCGGAGGTCGAAATGGTGGTGAGGAAATTGTGCAAGAGTGTACGACAAACACGGGGCCGTGGGAATTATGCGAAACGGTATCACGATAGCGGAGTTAGACACGATCGATTATAGGAACCGCGACAATCCCTCCTTTCGCTCTAATGCGCTACCCTCCATGGTATCCTCTCCCAAAGCCACAGAATTATTATAACAGCTTAAAGCCGCTTTGCTCTCTCGCTAAGCGCCCCTCCCATGTCCCTGCCAATCTCATCTAGCGTACTCCATGGCTGACGTGCTGCTTGAAACATCGTCTACTTCTGGTTGTCTTCAAAGGGTCGCCCACACGAGGGACTTGCACTACATCAGTGTACTTGTACTCTATCTTATCTTTACTTCTCACTCTATCTCTTTTAATCCCTCCTTATCATCTTCCCACGTGAGCCACCATTGAGGTGTCGCACTCAGATGCAGAGAGTTACGGGGCTCCCTTTTATCTTATTTTATCTCATTTAAGAATCACTCCCCCCCCCCCCCCCCCCACGCGCGGGCCACACTATGAACAAGCAGCGCGGACAGCTGCTTTAGCCGCTTGTATACTAACCGGATGTCGTATATAGGCCCATGCTCGACCAATCACAGCATATTTGTGGCTAGCGTGGATATTTGAACGGCGCTACGGCGCCTCAGAGATATTCGTACGGCACCTCGCGCGGAGGCCCGAAAGGCCTGGAAAGAAGGAGGGATTGTTTCTTGGAACTTGAGGCGCGCCGGAGGCTCGTAGCGCTGCCACGTGTAGAATCGTTGATCGCGACGGCAGTTTGCACGCGGTGCACGTGTTTACTTGAAACATAGAGTATCATACAATTATTGCAAGAAACTCCATGACTTGAAATCTCTGAAAAAATATCGCCGCTGGTTGCCGCTGGGAGGCAGCACTCACAAGCGACGAGTAGGGTGCCTTGATGCGCGCGCTCCCCCGATCGAGGCACCCTAGCGACAAGCTGGCCGAGCAGCTTTGGGCCGTCCGGCAAGCTGAAGATGCTGCCCGGGTGCAAGGACTCCGAGCGATCACCTGAGGCACCGCCATCATAATCGACGGAGAGTACGAAGGGACAGGAGGTTAATCCCCTTTCCCCCTCCTTGTCCGGTAAAACTGCCGGACTTTAAATAAAGTTTATTAATTCCTTCATTCAGGCGGTTTACGTGCCTTAAGGCGCACCGAATTAAGTACAGCCAATCGAACCCCTTTATAGGAGACAAATGAGACACCAGTGTGCCTATATACAGCAAAATAGGCGTTGATAACAAAACGCTTGCGAGGTACCCTGATTATAAGAGGCACCTCTTATAAGAGAGAGAGAAGAATTGCTGCCCAGAGAATGCCTCCTATGAAGGGATGAACGTGAATACCGGCCTCGGCAGCCTGCATCGAAACTGCGGCCGCCACGGCCGGGATTCAATCCCGCGACGTGCGGGTCAGCAGCCGAGGGCCATAACCATCAGATCACCATGGCAAATTATGAGGCGCGTAAGGCTTTCGCCCTAATGTACTCTTTCGTACCACGTGATCTGAGGAGGTTTTCCATCCGTCGATCCAGATGGCATAGCGGGTCGTGTTGCAGCAGGCGCCAGGATGTGTATGCGTGCGTGCGGCTCGCCTGACACGATGCATGCGATACCCGCCTCGACATGCCGGCTTGCCTTTATACTTCTGCCGGCGTTACCTTGCACACAGATCTGCAGTCATATAGAGCTCACTGTGAACCGACAATGAAAAAGGAACCTTGTCCTGCATCGCAGAACTGTATACGCCGAGTTGTTTACGAGGTATAAGCTTTCCCTCGGCTTCTCCTGTGAACGGCGCCAGGTATATGTCGTATCTGAAGCGCGAACGAACGAGACGTCCTCTTTCTCACATTCTTTAACGGACATGTTCCCGTTGCGCATGCGCGCGTTAGTTTGTGATCGCAAGTGCAGTGCGTGTCAGGGGCCGGGGGAACTTCGAGGTGATGTCGCCTGCGCCATTATTATTATTATTATTATTATTATTATTATTATTATTATTATTATTATTATTGTTGTTGTTGTTGTTGTTGTTGTTGTTGTTGTTGTTGTTGTTGTTGTTGTTGTTGTTGTTGTTGTTGTTGCACGTTTTCCCGCTTAACAAGCATTTTCTCGCCACAATTGTGTGGTGTTTTTTTGGTTTCGTGGAATATTTTAGTAATGCAAGAAAGTTCCTTTTTTTTTTTCTTCAGCGTTCCTTTAACTCCTTCGCGTGAGCTATCTGTGCTTTAGTACAACAATAAATAGAGAAATGATTCAATGACGGTATAGCATCGTGCTCCCTGCACCCTTCAATCACTATGTCCCGCTCATTACATCTCGTCTTCTAATCATCATTCGGCATTCTTCTTTATATACAGTCAACCGCATAAGTTTAAGGGACAAGCAAGCGATTACCGAACTGTATGTCAGCAGCGGGGCGCCACCTTCCGTCAACCGTTGCGCCAGGTCGAAAACGGGCCTTGTTGTTACTCAGCGGCGGGTCAATTTTCTTCTACTTGCCAGTGACTCATTACTTCCTTGTTTTAACGAAAAGCGCCCATCCGCAGTAAGGCAGTCGCCATTCCGCTTTGATATCAATCATGGTGGTACAGGCGTGCTTCGGGATGTGCACTGTTGGCTGTAGATATTAGTTCTTACGAAGGGATGCGACGGATAACAGCTATATGTATACTGCTCTCGAAGAAGTCCCGGAAAGAAGGAGGGCTCGTTGCGTTAAAAAAGTAAAATGTAGGACATGTTTATCCCCTGTTATAAAACGGGTAGTGAGAAGGCCAAAATGAGGCATCCGCCTTGGGCTTAATGTTGTCGATCGCCGCTAGAGCAGCACACACGTGGTCCGTAAGCTTTTGTGGCCGATAGTCACCGGCTGTTGTACATTCGTGTGGGCAGCCATAGGCTGTCGAAAATTGTCGAGATCATGACTCACTCAGCATATATATATATATATATATATATATATATATATATATATATATATATATATATATATATATATATATATATATATATATATATATATATATATATATATATATATATATATATATATATATATATATATACATATATATATATATATATATATATATATATATATATATATATATATATATATATATATATATATATATATATATATATATCCTCTTGGCGCCTTTTGATATATTACACTCTCGAATACGATCTTATGAGTGGTTTCGCAAACCACTAAGCACATTTTCCTTGAAAGAGATGGCAACATA